CAAAAAGCTAAACTCTGGTGCTCTTCACTGACCCCTCCTTTTCTCTTTAAAATCCATTTTAATCATCCAAAACTGCGTTTTTGGATGATTAAAAGAAGCTAAGTTGAGAAGCTAAGCTACGAGCTAAGCTAACAGGCCGACCTCAGGGAAAAAAAACCTCCGTCTTGTCGACGCTCCAAAATTCACAGTTGAAACCTGTGCCTTCATGTAAAAAGTTGTTCTCTGCAAAAAGAAGCTGCGAACTTGTTTACTGATTTTTTTATTACAAGCTGTGTGTGAAAAATGCTATGCTAAAGAGCTCAAACCACACCGAACGTCTGTCATTTTGAGATCTGAAGAGAGACAGCCCATGTCACGTCAAGGGGCCTCCCTCCCATTTTTCTTAAAGAGACACGTTGCTTGCTCCCTCACTATCCATCCTTTGGTTCAAACTGTCTTATATTGCCATCCAGTGGTCAAAAAGAAACTACATGCAAAACAAATTAAACATTTCTTCTTAAATTTTACAATAATTGCAAATCAATATTACCGTTTATCGCAATAATTTCTGAGGCAATTAATCGCCCAGCAAATTTTGTTATCGTGACAGTCGTTACAGGAGTGAGGGATCTGACTGTCAGTGAAACCGATGAATAATAAGGAAACACATGGGGAGGATTTATGTCCCGCTGTCCGTGTGTAGGTGGGGAGGGATTATTCACTGATCCTCTGCAGGACAGCACTGATGTTGGTCACTCACTGCACTTTGAGGACAATATTTAGCGAAAAAGTCACATTTAAATTTTAAATGTGACTTTTTTGCTAAATATTATAATATATTATAATATTATAATAATATACTGAGCGGGGCAGATTGGACATGGCTGCCTGGGGTCGAGTCGCCTCTTTCCGGTTTGACCAAAGAGCAGTGCCCCGCTGAAGCCACGGAGCTCGAACGTCCATCGTAAAACTAACTTTAACGTGGTTTAATGTGGCGCTATGGCTCTGCAGACATTGCACAATGCTGTCTTGTTTTGTGGTGTTTAGTGTAAAATACTTTCACACAGCGGACATGTTTAGATGCTAACTCATCCCTCACGTTGTAGCTGCTGCAAACTATGAACTGGATTTCCTGAATGTGAGGCGGGTCTTATTACTCTGGGCTCATGAGACACGCCGCCGTTCAGGAAATCCATTCCATAGTTTGAAGCCAACTTGCATCATGGATCGGAAATATCGGCAGGTGGATCGGAAAATCTGATACGTAAATTATGCTGGTATCGGAGGCCGATACCGATACTGGATCGGATCGGCCCCATCCCTAATTTAAAATCATTTTAAGACTCCAAGCATGACTTGTAGACGCCTCCTCTAGCCCTTCTACACAGTCTGGAATTGTAGAAAACGCTTAAAAGAACCCCTACGTTATATTTTGATGACGCATGGGCTGGCTGAACTTTTCTTAAAAGAGGAAAGAGAAACGTTGCGATGCTCGGCATCCTTCTACAGGGCGGAGGCTTCCTATAGAGCATCACAGGACTGAAAATAGCACGCTGCAGTCTTTGCAAACATGTGAACATATATCATACCTTGTCAGAGCAGACGAAAAGCGAGAGTGTTTTGGTTTATGGAATTACTTCTGTGTACTTTTTCCATCTCAAAACTTTAACAAATAAAGAGTCATTATTAGATTTTATTTTCAGATTATACTCAGGAGAAGATGGAGGAAGGTGCAAATTAGATGAGACCTGCATGAAAAATGAAATGTGATTATCTCTGAAGTGCCACCAGAGACTGAGTTCTGTAACATTTCCAGGAATGTATATACAAGTCTTGTGAGACGAGACAGACAACTTAAAAAAAAATAGCTCTTGATTGAACAGATTATTGGAAAAGTGACATCCAGAATGATCAGCAGGATCACATTAACAGCGGGTTGAAGCAAAGTTTATTCTACTGTACGTTCTGCAATAAATGAAATATTTGACATTATCTGGTCTTTGACCTGCTGCTAATTTCTCAGGCGTGTTGACCAATCCTCGGTATGGAAGAAATATAAAACTCTTCACTGCTTGGCCAGCAAAGGCCTCAGTTGATCACTGAGCATTATAACTACGGCCATGCCGATCCGTTAAAACCTGCAGAACTTTCTCAGACATAAAGTTTACAAAGCTGGAAAAATCAACAACACTCAAATCTGAGGGGCTTTTTGAGGGCAACATAAAACATGGGCTCATATCAGTTCAGCTAAATCTTTAAATAAAACTAAACATCAGCTAAATGTCGTTTTTTTATTTTACTGTATTTCTTAACCATGTTAAAGACAGACAATAAAAAAATATATATATTTTTTTAGTTATTGTCTGAAAAATCATCATCTATGCATTTGCCTTAAGAAAGAAAAAAAATTATTTAGCTAAACTATTTATTTTAACACATAACACCTTGGATTAATTTATATTGTTGCATTTGTTGAGAAATCCGATAATAGCTGAAAAATTTCAAGAAACCAAATTTATCTTTATGACAAGGATATCCACAAAAAAGCGTGACAAAATGCATTTTCTGCTAAAAAAACGCTGAGCATAGCTTATAAAATGAGCTGAAGAAGCAGCAACTGAGTGATAAACATAAAAAGGAGAACACTAGCTAAAGTTAAACATAGAAAATGCTTGCTCAAAGAAAAAAATAGCAAAATGTTATCACAAAGCAGTTAAAAGTTAAAACAAACAAGATCTAACTAAAAGGTAAATGTATCAAAAAGCTAATTGTAGGCTAAAAGTAGTGCCCAGATATTAGTTTAAACGAGAAAAGAATAGCTCAAAGCTGAACATAGCAAAAGGACAATTAAAAATATGAAATGCTAAAAACAAAAAGCAGCAAAACACTAGCTTAAAGAAGCAAAGGTAGCTAAAATCTAAAATAGCAAAAGGCTAGCTGAAAGCAGCTAAACACTAAAGAAGCAAAGACATAGCTATAAACTATAACAAAAGGATAGCTAAAAACAAAAAAACTAACTTAAAGCTAACATTGGCAAAAGGCTGGCTAATATCTAAAAGTAGCAAAAGGCTAGCTAAAACATATACATTTTTAGGAAAAAAAAGCTAAAATAGGCAAAAAGCTAGTTTTTAAACTGTTAGGCTGCAACAAAGAAGCAAATAATGTAACAGTCTATAATTGTGTATTTGCTGCATTTTAGCGTAAGTGTCAGATCTTCTAGGTTTTTCTTGTGTGTAAACCCAAAGCTTGGAACCATTTGATATTTGTGTTGACAGCAACTGGACCACAACATTAGCCTTTTCACAAAAGTCCAGAAGGATTTTCACTCTCCATCAACAGAACTGCGTTTTGCCTCCTGCCCAATTACAGCAAACGCTGTCAGAAAGTGGCTGTGGCAGAGCTTCACAAAAAGGAGCTTAGTGGGAAGAAATCACTATTATATGAATATGGTGGCGGACAAAGACAGACTGCCACTGAAGACAAGGTAAGAGGTACAGCATGCCAGGAAAAAAGGGCGAAGCTGTACACACCATCAGCCCAAAGTAATCGCACAGTGATGTGTCCGTCACGGTCTGAACTCTTGAAGCCAAACTGGCAGCTTTACTGCAAACCTAAATTAACCCCCTGGGACTGTGGCTCGCTTCACGCTGCTGAATCCATAGTAATTTGCAAGAATACATTAAATCCATGAGAACATGAACTTTTCTCCAAATATTTTATCTGTGTACAAAGAATTCCCCCAAAATTGGCATATTTTAAACTTAATTCAGCTCCCAGTTTGCCCCATTGTATACAGCATTACTCCAGAGCTTATTTTAATGACTTATGTTGACATGAAAAATAATGATTAGTTGTGAATATTATGCCACATTTATGCAAAGATGAAACAGTAAAGAAGCCTCTTTAAGCATGCTTTCATTTTTAAAGTTTGACTTTAACACAGGCGCCTGATTTGCTGTAAAAAAAAAATTCTCTCATATTTTTTTCTTAAAGCCAACTCAACATTGACATTATATTTTTAAATTATAGATTCTTTCATGAGCTTAATGGATTCTGTTTCTGCCAACCAGGTATTCAGCTCATATAGGACAATATAGCTATGACTTTTGGCGTGTAGATTTTTAAAATATGAAACTATATTTACATTTTTACCCATTGGAAAACATTAGGATCTCTTCAAATCAATGCTCTATTTAAAATCACCATATTTGCTCTATTTGTGTGTCCTTATGGTTCTTTGTGTGAATCAACTTTTTATTTCCGAAGCATTATTTTAGTCCTTTTTAATCACATCCTTTTTCTGTTTTATCTCTTGTGTATCCTTTTGATCTCTTTGTGCATCCTTCTAGTTTTTCATGCATCCCTTTTTGACGTTTTATTTTTAGGAACGCTTTTTGTTTCCTTCTGCATCCTTTGTATGTTTTTGTCTCCTATGCATTTTTTATGTCTCCCTATGTGTCCTTTTAGACAGCTTATGTATCCTTCTTGTTTTTTATGGATCTTTTGTCTTTTCATGTCTGCCCTTCTAAAGTTTTGTTTCTTTTTCTCTCCTTATGCATCCTTTCTTTTTAGTTTGCATTATGTCTTTTTTTGTCTCTTTATGCCTTTTCCATCTTTCTGCTTTTCCGATCAGTCCCTCTACTCCTTGTGCTTCTTCTACAAATATTTCAGCTATTGAAAGTTCAGCTATTATGCAGCTCACTTCCCCTTTTTCTGCAATTTCAGCAGTCATTCATCCACATTGTATTTTTTGCAAAAGAATCTTATTTGTTCTAGTTTTGTTTGGCCTTGTGAAGCAAAGTCAGTGTAAAGTGCCACTCTCAAGGATTTTTACAACCAGTTCTGTCACAGTGACGATCTTCATTTTGATGGCCTTTCTAAATTGTTTACCAACTGATTCTACACAAAGTAATGAGGACAAAGGGAGTGGGGTGCACAAATGCCATCAATATAAATGACACAAATCCATGTAATCAAACAAAAGAGTTTGTTTTAAAGAAGTCCTGTGTGCAGGTCCTTACCGATGGTGGAGATGTGAGACGGGTGAAATTCGTTGTCCGTGAATCTGCATAACAAACATGTTTTCCCAACCCCAGAATCTCCGAGGAGCAGGAGTCGGAAGAGCACATCGTACTGCTTAGCCATGGCGCTGGTGCACGGTGTGATGGATGAATCAACCCGGAGCCATCTAACTCAGCGAGGAATGGCCGGTCTGGTCCCCCCTCCTGCGTCCCATGTCCGCCCAGAGGCTCCACGTAAGGCTGCGTGCGTGTTTTTGTTCCCTGGTGGAGACAATAAACCCGGGATGCTGTGGCTGTCAAGGCAACCTCCTGCTTCCAGTCAGTGGGTGTGGTGGGTGGACCAACTGTCAAGTTAGCCTCAAGGAGAAAACAACACTTCCGGTAACTGTTTCAAAATAAAACCATTGTTAGATCGTAGATGAGCAGCTGCTACTACAGACAAAAGATTGTATATATTATAGAATAAGTATATCTTTGTTGGGACCTGAAGCCAGAAAGACCTGCTTTTTTATCCTGTTGTATTAGTGGGACGAGTCTGCGCACTGGGGATGTGGGGTTTGTCGAGTCCTACAAATATTTGAGTATCTTGGTCGACTCGCATCTCTCTTTTAAGCTTCACGTGGAAAACCTAGTAAGGAAACTGAAAGTTAAACTGGGTTTCTTTTTCAGAAATAGATCCTTCTCTGAATGCTACGAAACGCCTTCTAACTGCAACTTTCTTTCCCTCCATTGATTACGGTGACATTATTTACATGAACGCTCCTACAAGCATCCTGCAGATGCTGGATGTTGTCTATCATGGTGCACTAAGATTCATAACTGGCTGTAACTACCACTGCACCCTGTATTCACTGGTTAACTGGTCATCATTAACTTCACAGACTTTCACTGGTACATTTTCAACTTTAAATCACTTTTTGGTCTGCTGCCTTCATACATGTCCTCCTATATGTCTCTGCATGAATGCAGCTCTCAGGACATTATTACCTGCAGTGTTCCCTCACTGCAGACTGAACTAGGCAAAAGGGCCTTCTCCTACTCTGCTCCTGTTTCCTGGAATATCTTGCAAAAAGATCTGAAGCTCTTGACCTTGACCTCTCTAAGTGGCTTTAAACATCTGTTAAGTTCCTGGCAAGAACCAATGCAGTCATGTTCCTGTTTTTAGTTTTCTACACCGCCTTATAATCTAGCAGTTTTTTTTTTGCTACTTTTTTCCTTTTGACTGTCCTTTTGGTTGCCATTTTATTTTAATTTGTAAAAAGAAAAATCTGTATGCCTCTTTTACGATTGTCTATCGTTGTTGTTGTTATCCACTGTTGTCATCGTTCTTTGTTAAATCAGGTCTCTTTTGTAAATGAGGCCCCACGGCTCAATGGGATTAACCTGTCTAAATAAAGGTTGAATGAATGAATTTAAGTCCCGCCTACTTTCTTGCACACGGATCTCTTGATCTTTTTATTAAAAAGCAGTGGTGTAGTCTACATTTTTGTAGTGGGCATACTGTGCTTAGTACAATGTAAATGTCAGTTTATTTTTGATTTTTAAGCATATTGAACATTACCAAATTTATCTTATGCTTATACTTGAATAAATGAACAACAAACTTTGTACAGCAGTTTGCTTGGTATTGAAAACACGTTATAGAATTTATAAAACAGTATCTAAGCAAAATACGTTCAAGTATTAAGTAATAAGTACAGAATTATACAATAGTTCGCTAAATAAGCGAATGTAATAAACAAGCGCCGCATAAAGATATGGAAAGATATGATATGGAAGCTTTTAACTGCTGTTTAACGTATAAATGACGCATATAATGATATGTGATTTATCATTGGGCACTTTAGTGGGTATACTGAAATTCTTAAGCTTTTCTAGTGGGTATGCTCTGTATACCTGCGTATCGCGTAGACTACACCACTGGTAAAAAGGCCAGTTTTACAGGTAGGCCTACTCACATTTGCTTTTGTTTTTGCCATGAAATAAACAGTTGGTTAAAATCCCTTAGAGAGGTCAGAGTCAACAAATTCAGATATTTTTGTAAGGAATTCCAGGTTACAGGAGCAGAGCAAGAGAAGGCCCATTTGCCAAGTTCAGTTTGCAATGAGGGGACGCTGCAGGTAACAATGTCCTGAGAGCGCACGCTGTAGCTGCACTGACCAAGTGACATGTGGGAGAAGATGTATGAAGGCAACAGACCAAGAAGTGATTTAAAGATGAAAATGTACATGTGAGAGAGTCTGAGTGAAGTTAATGATGACCAGTTAACCAGTGAATACAGGGTACAACGGTGATGGTATGATAGCTACAGCCAGTTATGAATCTTAGCGCACCATGATAGGCAGCATCCAACATCTGCAAGGTGCTTGTAGGAGCGTTCATGTAAATAATGTCATCGTAGTCAGTGTAGGGAAGGAAAGTCCCAATTAGTCGTTTCCTAGCGTTCAGAGTTAGCCAGGATCTATTTCTGAAAAAGAAACCCAATTTAACTTTCAATTTCTTGACTAAGTTTTCGACAAGAGGGTTAGAGAGATGTGACTCACTTCACAACAAGATCAAGCATGGTTTTTTTTATATATTGGCACTGTTTTTGTGATGTAATAGTCTTTTATTATTTTATTTTATTATTTATCATTGAAATACTTTCCTAAGTAACCGTGAGCAATTTGCAACCATCTAGGTTATCTGCGACTTATTTTGAAGGCTAAATCACACCATTTCCTGTTTTTTAATACAGCTGGCTCAAATGAGCAAGGGATTACTTCTCATAATGTGGAACCTAATTCATTTAAAAATAACGTAGATTTTACACAGTACTGTTAAAACAATACAAGTATTAGTCTTCTAAAAGTAACAGCAAGTATTTGTTTGTTTTTGCGTGAATAAAAGAGAAGAAGTTTGTCCCCTCAGAGACACCGTAGTTGACGTTCACGCTGCTGTTTTTTTTTTTCCTCCTCTCCAATCAATCTGTGTTGAAGGCGAGCAAAGAAGTACCAAAACAAAGTGGAGAACGTGCTCGTTCCTTTATTTTGTTTAGCTTCCAAGCCATTTTTTTTTTTTGCAAGCAGGCTCTGCTATCATCATGGGCGGTATTCCGACACCTCTGCGGTGCTTCAGCGAGCAACACTCCGCAGAAATGTTCGTGGATGACGGGGTGGAAACGGTGACTTCAGTGGAGCAGGTGAGCTAATGCTAATGCTAATGTTGCTCTGTGCTTTGGAGTGAAGAGGCACCTCGAAAATAATGTTTAGGATTCCGCTGTCACTCACACACAGTGTTTTATGTGTCGAGCAACTGATTAAAAGCGTAATATAAAGTTTTCCGTCATTAGCTCTCCGCCTAACCGGCTTGTGTTAGCAAAGTTTAGCCTCTAATTAGCTAAACATCGAGCCCTAATGAGATCTAGCAGGGATTGGAGTTTGCTCTTGGCCAACTAATAACAGACTTGCAGCTAGGTTGTGAATCCGTTTTTACAGAGCTTTTTACCCTAAATGTAGAGATTAATATAAACACATTTATTCTGGTTTTTGTGTTTGCTGTGAGCTGATGTAAATCAAAACAATACATTTGTCTATTATTTGCAGATCATTACTAAATCAAAGCAGATGCTGTTTGTACCCGAAGCTATCAACATGTGTAATGATATAAACCCACTGTAAACAAAGTAAATTTCAATGAGATTGTCTGTTGAACACAACTATATTACATTTAAAAGGCCATATAAAACCAATTGAGTGCGTTTGAATACAGTTTAATAAAATTGTGAGTGCAAATGGTGAAAATCCACAGTGTCAACAATTAGTTAAAATTCAATAATCTCCCCCCCCCCAAAAAAAATATGGCAAAAGTAGTAACAAAAAAATACTTTAAATGTTTGTTTAAGGTGCTTATTGAATACTTGTTTATGGCTTTATATTCATGTTTGTACACGTCAACCAGAAATAGTTGTTTCAAGTTTTTACTGGTTTTACTTGGTGGGTCAGAACCTCAAAAGTTTGTACATTTTCTTAAAACTCCTATATTTGATCTCAATAATTACCAGAGGAGAGCGAGAGAACTGTTGATTGCATTACTCGAGTTAAAAATTGTTTACGTTATTATATGTGCAATAAAATCTGTAATAATTATGGACTGGTGTTAATCTCAAAACTCGTGACAGTCTGGTCAAAGCATCAGAAGTGACCGACCTTAAAGTAGTTATATATACTCAAGTTAATTCTTAATTTGGTCAGTATTAAGATCAACAATAAAATATTGTAATTACCTTTTGATAAATGTCATTCTGAAAGTGAATTTCTGTTAACGTCAACCAAGAAAAAGAACTGAAACGTGCCACAGTTTTCTTGCTTGTGGCAAGAAAATCCATTGTGTGGCTTTAGCTGTAAAATAAATGAATAAATAAATAGTAAAAAAAAAAGACATACCTAGCTTTTATGCTTTCTAATCAAATGAAGAAGAAAGCATTCAAAAATGTTGCCACCATTTGAAATTTTCCTTAAGGGCTAAGGGTAGCAAAGTAAGCAGTAAGTCCAGCTAAGATGATGTGGCACATTTCCAAGACTTACCACAATGTAAAGTAGAAATACTCCAAATAATTTTAGTGTATACTATGTGGCTATAGCACTGATATTAGTGTTTTGATACGTATAATAGAGCTCCAGCAATTTACAAAACAAGCTAGTTTTTAAAACTATTTTTGCTATATTTTTAACCAAGTTCATTAATCTTTATGAAGTAAACATATACTACCTTAATGCCAATATATTATGGATACATTTGTTCAGAAAACATGTTCTTTAGATGCTCTTGGTATTGTGCATATAGCCAAAACGGTTATATTTAGGATTTAGCTGTAAATTATTGTGGATTTCATCCTTCTCAACCCATCTACAGCCTAGTTTAAAATAAATAAGACTTCTCTATAAAATAAAATGGGTTGTAGCTTTAATTAGTCCTTTACATTTGTTTTGCTGGTTGTAAATGGTTTTTTTTTTTTCTATTTTCTGTGATTGCAGAATTTTAATTTTTGCAGTGTTCTTCTGTTGCATTTGTTTTGGAGTTTGCGTCATTCATGTGTTTGCAGCGCGTTTCTCTTTAGCAGTTTGAGCTGAGTTTGCACCTGTCGACCACCGCGCTGTGTGGACCTCAGAGAGACAAGGTCATGAGTTCAGGGGAAACTTAAAGTTAAATGGAGACACTCTTTTTACATCTCTCTCTGTGTGTCTCTGTCTCTCTCTGTGTGTCTCTGTGTGTCTCTGTCTCTCTCTGTGTGTCTCTGTCACTCTCTCTCTGTCTCTGTCTCTGTTTGTGTCTCTGTCTCTCTCTCTCTCTCT